AGACTTTGGAGAAGCTTAGCTGACAACTTTTGCTAGCATATTTTATCTTATACTCCACTACCTTCACAAAGGATTTGAGGCCGCAGATTTACTAGTAATGATGAAGAGCTTAAGTAAAAAAGATCGTTTTATTTCATCACCTATATATCTAGAATCTGCTGAATTGAAATAGTTGTATTTTAGCAGTAAATATACCCGATCCAACTTTCAAGACTCTTCAAAATACATTTACTTTTGTCCAAAGATACAAAACCTAGAATACAATAAAGATCCCAAATTTTTTTAAAACATTTTATTAGGGCCTCATACAACTGTTATCGCAATCCATACACACCTCAGTTGTGTAAAGCGCATTTGTACATCATTCTCAAAACATTTTCTCTCCACTTAAACCCCCGACATTAGGTCCTTATTTTTCTGCTCCCCTCTCCTGATCCCAAATTCTTAAGTAGTGATTTGGCACACTGCTGCTTTTTCTTTTCTTTTTTCTTTAAGCATTTTAAACTTAAAGGATTAAAAAAATTGTTTTGAAAACTTTATGTTGTGGATTGGTTGAAGGTTTGTAGAGCAAATGTTTTCAACAATTCATACACATTCTGTTTCATGTCTTTGATTGCAGTCCCCACAGTAGAACATCACTCAACCCATTTCTATTCTGGTATTTCCTATTTTGAGTCTTCCTCCTCTCCTAACTCTTCCTGCCTTCTCAACACCTTCTTTGGTCCTGCAACCCCCGCCCCCAGCTAGTTTTCTCTCAACCGTGATGGTCCTTTTTTGGGTATCTTTCCAGGTATGTTTTATGGATGCCAAAACAACTGTTTGTCTTTATTAATGTTCTCCCGTTTGTTACATAAATGATATCATACCAGGCATTAATTTATTTTCTCTTTTGCATTTTATGTGTTTTAGAGCTTTCTCTCTCAGTACATGAAAAGCTCAATACAGGTAATCGAAGAAGAGGAAATTACTATTAGATCTGGTCATTATGTTAAGCAGTCAGGGCTAAATTAGAGAAGGAAATTGTCTAATGTGGCCCTCAAAACTCACCTTTAGATCCTCCTATCCTAGCCACTTAACAACATAACCCACTGTCCAATATTCTCACCAGCCTTTTTTCGATCTCCCTCTGGCTCTTGAGGATTCTACCCATCTCTCTGTCCCTGAAGCCTTTCCTGACTTGCCACCCCCCCCCCCCCACAAAGTCTGGGTTAGGACTCTCACTTGTATCTTGGTGGCACCATCGACTTCTCCCCGTCACAGCACCTAGCAACACTGTGAAATGTACTTATTCCTAATGTGGCACTGAGCACACAGCACTATTGTAAGTACATCTTTTTGGCCTGTTTTCCCAGTAAACCATTATGTCTAGGACACTTTGCCAATTGTAGATAAATATAGGTAAGTTAGTCCTTTGAATACTTAATATATTTACCTGCTTCATATCCGCCAAAGTATTAAAGAACATATAAACTCGTAATAGAAATGTGGTCTTTGCCACTGTACTCTTTAAGAGAGTGAGTGAGATAGCGTCTCGGGTCTTAAAGGCTTGAAGGTAATCAAGCGGCCATCAAGCTCAGAAGCAACAAAGCCCACAGGGAAGAAGCACATCAGCCTATGCAATCACAAGGTGTCAAAGGGATCAGGTATAAGGCATCATCAGAACAAAAATCTTACCATAGTGAATGATGAGGGGAGTGTGGAGTGGAGACCCAAAGCCTATTTGTAGACCACTGGAGATCCCCTTGCCGAGGGGTCTCAGGGAGGAGACGAGCCAGTCAGGGTGCGATGTAGAAACGATGAAAAATACAACTTTCCTCTAGTTCCTAAATGCTTCCTCCCGCCCCCACTTTAATGATCTGAATTCTACCTTGCAAGTCTGGCTGGACCAGAGGATGTACACTGGTACAAATAGGAACTGGAAACACAGGGAATCCGGGAGGGATGATCCCTTCAGGACCAGTGGTGTGAGAGGCGATACTGGGAGGGTAGAGGGAGAGTGGGTTGGAAAGAGGGAACCTATTATAAGGAACTATGTGATGAGGGAGAGTGGGTTGGAAAGAGGGAACCTATTATAAGGAACTATATGTGACCCCCTCCCTGGGGGACGGACAACCGAAAAGTGGGTGAAGGGAGACATCGGACAGGGCTAGATATGACAAAAATAATAATTTATAAATTATCAAGGGCTCATGAGGGAGGGGGGAGCGGGGAGGGAGGGGGAAAATGAGGACCCAATGCTGGGGCCTTAAGTGGAGAGGAAATGTTTTGAGAATGATGAGGGCAATGAATGTACAAATGTGCTTTACACAATTGATGTATGTATGGATTGTGATAAGAGTTGTATGAGCCCCTAATAAAACGATTTTAAAAAAAGTGAGTGAGACAGGGCCAGGGCATGCACATCAGAAAATAAATAGCTTCTTCTCCGTGACAAGGCATTGTGGTTAGATTAATGAGAATGCCTAGGGAGTGATTGGTACTTGAGACAATTAAGGAAAGCTTATTGGAAGAAAGCCCTGGTTGCACTGTGGGCTAATCATTGGGCTGGTAGTATAGGGTTGGTGGTTCAAACCCACGAGTCACTCTGGAAGAAAAGGCAGCCTGGTCTCAATAAATATTTAATGTGGAGACCCACAGAAGCAGGCTTATATAAGTCCTATACAAGTTGAAATCAATTTTATAGCAGTGGATTTTTTTTTGTATTCGAAGAAGTGGAACCTGAGCTAATGTTTAGTAAAGGAATACAGTATTTGAGAAAAATAAATGAGTTGAAAACTACTCTATGGGAGAAAAGAACGCAAACTCTTTGCCATGGATTGGATTCCAACTCTTAGCAACTCTCTAAGACAGGGTAGACCTGCCTTTGTGGGTTTCTGGACTTGCCAACCTTTATAGGAGTAGAATACCTCTTTCTCCTAAGGAGTTAGCTGGTAGTTTTAAACTGCTGGCCTTGCCATTAGCAGCCCAACTTGCAGTCCACCACCCCACCAGGGCTCCTTGCAGAAGTAGTGGTAAATATGGTGAAGATGAAGTAAGCGCTCAGTTGTAAGACAGTGTAAGCAGGAAAATGAGAATTGCTCAAAAAAACTGAGATTCACTTAGAAACATAAGGTGGAATGAAGGGAATACTAGAGGGGCAGTTTTCGAGGAGCATCTTTCAGGCCCCTGAAATTAGCATAAGAACAGTTGACTTTTTAAGAATGTCAAGGTTAAGGGCACTTACCCACAGCCAGAAATTCAACTACAGTTGAACCATGAACCCCAGAGGCTGTGTAAACCCACTTGTACCAGGTATATTTTTGCCAAGAGTTCCGTGCAGCGCCAATCACTTCTGGATCTGTTGGCTCACAGCTCAACCTTTGCATGTGCCACAGTAGCAAAAGGAAAACAAACATGTATTAGTGGGCCTGTTTGACTCAAGCATGTATTGTTCAAGGGAGAGCTGTACATTATTCAGCTATTATAGTTGAGCCCAAAGATCTGTGGACTATGGCCAACAAAGACTGGTCATTGTGTCTTAATTATTACATTAATGGGCCTGCTGTGAACCTGGTGAAGTGTCAACTTCCCTCTGATGGCATAAACCTTTTGGATAAGCTTTCATCTTTTCATTTACTAATTTATTTGCTGTACCTACATATGGAAGTTGAGACTTCTAGCTACACATAGTGGCTGTGAGTCAGAATCTGTGTCATGGAAGTGAGTTTGAGTTCTCTGATTGGTATCCCCACCTCCCGCCCAGAGTGAGTGGGACCAGCCAAAGCTATCCTGGTGGGATCAGTGGCCTGGCCTGCCATCTTTCTGTGCACAGTGTGACCTCACCCCACGGCTCCTCAGCATTTCCTCTCTCCCATTGGTTCAGGCAGAGACCCAAATCAGCCCAGTGGTGGGCACTATGGCTCATCCTTCCAGACCTAGACTGGTGGGGTGAGTGATGGGTAGGTATGGGGACATACTGCTTTGAGTGACGGGTGAAAACAACTATAGGATGCCACTGCTTTATCATGGCTCTTGGATGTGATCCACTCTAACAGTGTTGGACTGCTGTGCCCACACCCCCTTAGTGTGTCTGCTGCATGTTTATAAAATTCCACTCAAACCAGCAGGACTTAGAATAAACCCTTAGAACCCATTGTAGTGGAAGTTTTCCTTTATGTTTTGATGAGAAAGGAATCCTGGTGTTATGTTTAAAGTCATTACTAGCTGTAATTGTAGATTATATCAGAGTCCATTCAAAGAGTCTTGTAAACATGACTGTTGTTTTAAACTTGAAAGGCATTTCATACACCTAGCAAGAAACTGACAAATCTAAAGCTTGCCATTTGAGGGTAAGGAAGACCAACCCAACTATTAGGATCAAGTACAAATATGCAGTGTGCAGATTTTTAAACCTCTATATAACGAAATATCATTGAAGTGAAATATTAGAGAAAATACCTTATACTTAATTATAGCATACTCATTATAAAAATGCTAGCAATTTTTATTATTCTGTTCTGGAAAACCCAAGAAAAGATAAACAGATTTTGGTTCAATTGTAGTAGAATCACTTGACACATCTAATAAACAATTGGCAAAATAATTTTTTAAACACAAAATGGAAAATGATGGGCATTTTTACCAACAGGGTAGCTTTGAAAATACAGCAGGTACTATAAATTTGATGTCTTTTCAGAGTGGAACTTGATGTAATTCCCTCCATCCATAAACCTGTACAACCATAATAAAGTAGCTTGTTCTTTTATGATACACTATAGGAGGGGAGACTAAAAAAAAAACTCATGGAAAAATGAGATTAAAGGATGAGGGAATTTTTTTTCCACGAACTTAATCGAAACTCCCCCCTTGCATTGGTTCTGGAAAAAAATTTACCACTTAAACTGATAAGTTTTCTCTTTTACCTGGTATGTTTACATTAAATGGCAAAACAACTCTTAATTGAGGTTTTCTATCCCCTCCTTGTTCTCTCCTTAACAAGGTATATGTTTTTAATCTTGCAGGCTGTAGAAAATCTCTGTTCTTACAAGATTTCTGCAAATTTGTACAAACAGCTGAGACAGATTTGTGAAGAGCACATCAAAGCCCAGATCCATCAGTTTAGAGAATATCCTTTTAAAAGTGAAAATTCCTGGATTCTTGTTTGTCCCCATCCCTCCCTACCAAACCCAGCGTGATGCAGCCTGCCTATGTTTTGTAACTTTTGTTGTTTTGGTGCTCTTTTTTGTCCCTAGGGCAAGAAGAAACAAATTTGGACTTTTAGTTTTAATTAGTGACCAGATCTACAGTGTGAGTAAGAGTTCCTTGTGGCTTTACCCTTATCCTAACAAATTTCCATTTGAGGAAAAACTATCTTCTAAGGGAAATCATAAACTGAAACATGATGTTTGATTATGTCCGTGCTTTATGTTTTAGCTGTTGACTAGGTAGTACTGTTTTGTTGGATTGGCCGATGAAAGCCCCGTGGACCCCAAAGCTCCATTCCACAACGGATTGTGAGGATGGTGCAGGACCCTCCTGGCTGTGTTCTTCGTTTCATTATTCATGGGGTCAACATTGGGGTGCGTGGGGGGCTTAACAGCAGTTAACAGACTTCTTCTCCATTTAAGATAATTGTGCTCTTATATGTATGTTATATTACTTTGGGATGCGTTTACATTTCCTTAACCTGTTCACGGACTCATTGGATAGTGTTCTTTTCCTAAAGAAGATCGATAAATGCTGGCAAAATCATTGCAGACAAATGGTAAGCTGGAAAAAGCCTTAGAGTTCAACTCAATACTGTAGCAAAAAAAAAAAATTCAATTTCCTTTTATTAAGGAATGTTCATTTTAAAAGTTTAATGATAATAGAGCGACCTTAATTGCTATCTGTTCTTGTGAATTGAAAACTAATTTTGGTTGAGTTTTTAAATTTCCAGTTGTAAGTAAACCCACATTTCAGAATAACTTGTACCTTAAGGATTTTTTTTTGCCATATTTACTTTATAAAAAGTAAGCGTCTCAGTTTAGAATTTTACCTTTTGTCTCACTCTTGATGGATCTCTGTGGCTCACTGATTATATGTGAGGATGCTACATGGTCTTATATTTTGTCCTATTCTAATTACAGTCATTTCTATTCTTCCTAATCTGCCATTGGCCTATTGTGCTTTTTTTCCTGCAATAGAAAATCTTAAGTTCCATGCTCCCTCTCATCCCCCTAATCCCCCATATTTACAGCATTCACTCCTTAATTCTGTCACTGAAGAAAAACTGCACGAGTGGTCCCTTGATTGCTGTGTTTCCTTTCAATTTGTAAGTAGCAAGGAAATTATAGGCCCATTTGCAGTTTCTCATAAGCCACAGCAAGTATTAAGACAATAGTTTAATCAAAATCATATGGGCATATTCTCAGATAACTTTACCTGAATTTTATATCTTCATACCCTTAACAAACCAAAGCCTTTGTTTTGAGTTGATTGTAACTTATTGCCACCCTATAGGACAGTTGAACTGCTCCATAGGATTTTCAGGGCTATTAATCTTTACAGTAAGAAGCAGTTATCAGTCCAAGCCTTTATTTATATCTAAAATAGGGATTGGCAAACTGTGGCTTGTGAGCCATATGCAGTTATTTCGGTATGTGCATGTGGCTGTGAAATAAAACTGAAAAATCGAAAGGATATTATTCAGACAATGGTGATTTCCTTTGTAAGAATGTATTTATGGCTCTCGAATAATTTTTAAATTGTTGTGAGGGACAGGATTGGCTCTTCATCTCAAACGTTTGCTGTACCCTGGTCTAGTGTATACACATTTAATTCTTTAACCAAGAGCAGATACTGCCTATAAACAATGTTTTATTTCTTCTCTCCCTCTCCCCCCATTGGCAGATTATGATCAGGAGCATTTTTTTATTCCTGGATAGAACTTACGTTCTTCAGAATTCTATGCTGCCATCCATTTGGTAAGGAGGCCAGAAAAAACTTGGTCAACATTTGTTATAACAAATCATAGTCAAATCCTGCACTAACAGAAGAGAGCAAGTAATTGTTGTGAATAGTTCCTTAAAAATTCACATCTGCCTTCTTGACTGTTAAATGTAGCAATTTTACTTACGCTAGTACTGAAAATAGCTAATATTGCCTGAGCAGCCTGAAGATTTTGGTAAGCTATGAATTTCAAACTTTGGAATATATGTATCTCTGTGTATTACTGTGCTGCTGATCAGGAGTTCACTCATTTTCTCAACATTATTATGGAAATGTTAGTGTGTGTGTGTGTGTGTGTGTGTGTATATGAAAACAGTATGGGGAACCTTTAGCCTCACTGTTTACCTCTCAAGCTATCTACCACAATTTTCAGAAAGTTCACTGATGTTGAATACTGAAGCCAGTTGATATATGACCAATTAAGCCTTCAGTACTAGTAAAGTGAAAAACCATTTTATGTCTTCGACTCCTTAAATGTTACAGCAGCTTTGCCTTTTGATGTGTGTATGGAAGAAATCCACCGGATGAAAGAAACCAATACACAGAATGAAACTAATACACCTTAGTTGTTCAGGACAACAGAAAGTTAGTGTCAGTTTTCATTAAAGTCCGTTCTTTAGACAGCTGCATGCTTCGATCTAGTAATGTTATTTCCACTCAATGTGTGAAATGTAGAAGTAGTACCAGCTGATTGTGTGCCTGTGTATGTTTTCACCACAGTAAAAAAACATGATAAATGTGGATGGCTTGCTTCAAATCCTCTGAAGCTTTAATTCACATGTAATAAGTGAAACTAATTCAGAGGAGGTATTGTTATCAACTTAGATTTTATATATATATAAAATGTTTTTTCTTTATCTTAGGGATATGGGACTGGAGCTATTTAGAGCTCATATTATAAGTGATCAGAAAGTTCAGAATAAGACCATTGATGGCATTCTTCTCTTGATTGAGAGAGAAAGGAATGGAGAAGCCATTGATAGAAGCTTACTCCGAAGTCTTTTAAGCATGCTCTCTGATTTGCAAGTAAGTTATCTTTCACTTCTGTGAGTGGGTTGCTATTCCTATGTTTTAAAACCAAATTGATCATACTGGTCATGTAGCAGACACTCAGTGACTATTTATTAAAGAAATGGGCTGATTTGCTTTGTTCTCCTCTCAGATTTATCAAGATTCTTTTGAACAACGATTTTTGGAAGAAACCAACCGGCTTTATGCAGCTGAAGGCCAGAAATTAATGCAAGAAAGAGAGGTATTTAAAACTAGCAATTAGTTAATTAGCCATCTCTCCCAGTAAAGCTCACTTTATAAAATACAAGTTACCCTTTGTATTTCTCTTCCCACCGGTGTAATGCTCATCTCTCACTTAGCTACCCCTTTTCTTTCTCTCTTCTTAAAGGCCAGCATTTTGGATCATAAACTACCTATATGTTTACAGATGATTCAACTGTCATATTTGACAGGGCTACTCCCTGGATCTTTTGGACTTGAAATTTTCTGAATGATGTATGGGGAGGAAAACAATAAATAATATACTAAAAAAAAACCTATCTTTGTAGGTTCCTGAATATCTCCACCATGTTAACAAACGCCTAGAAGAAGAAGCAGACAGACTTATTACTTATTTAGATCAGACCACTCAGTAAGTATTACATGCTCAGCCTGATAGTCTAACTTGTGTTGTTGGAGCACTTAACCAACTCCACCAATCCCATTGCCTTTGAGTTGAATTCTGATCCATAGCGAACCTTTCGCAGAGTAGAATTGCCCCCGTGGCATTTGCAAGGGAAACAGATCTCCACATCTTTCTGCTGAGGACAGCAGCTGGTGAGGGGGGCACTGACCTTTCCACGAACAATTGTGTGTGTAACGTTGCCACACCAGTTATTTCTTAGACACTTAGCATCCCAAACCATGTTAGTAACTATTTTCAGGTGTGACTTATGCTTTTTTTCCTCATAATTGTTTTCATGATAATTTGAACTTCCAAGTTTCATGTTCCTTCCCTAGTTCATTAGATTTAATCAAAGGTGGTGTGTGTGTGTGTGTGTGTGTGTGTGTGGACAGTGTAACTAAAGATTAGTATTAGAGGCTGATGTGCTCCTTCAAATCTTAAGACTAGTACCAACTTAAAGCAGAGAAACTTAAGTGTCAATTAAAGCAACCACGAAACATTTATTTTAGGATGTAAATCAAGTTGTGAAGTAAGTAGTGTTTTCCTTTGCCTAGGCAATAAGTAGAGTAACCGAACACCAATCATTGTATACGTGGGTAGGAATATTGAAAGGAACATAATGAACTATTTGATCTTTTCTGATTCCTCCCACCCCCAGGTGCTGGGGAGACTCTGAATCTCCAGGAAACTCAAATGTTAACAATTCTCTATTTTCTTGTAGGAAGTCATTGATTGCTTCTGTAGAAAAACAACTTCTAGGAGAACATTTAACAGCAATTCTTCACAAAGGTAACTGATTTGTAAAAGATTGTTTTTCTCCACTGGTTGTGGTAAACAAGAGAGATTTGTTAGCCTTTTAAAAAGCTTTATGGCTGCATGTCTGAGGGTAGATACCGTCCCCTTTCCCTATTCGTCTCAGTAAACATTCAGAAAGATGTCCTCCTTACATGAAGGCTATAGGAATTGAAGTGAAGTGAGAGCCTTCATCACCAGTAGAGAGAGAGTTCGGAAACCTTGGCTCAATATATATGAGACCTCCAGCATTCCCTTTGTACTTAAATATGTTTGTGTTCATAGCATGTGAAACGTAAGCACTTCTGTGAATCCTACGTGATCTTAAAAATATGAGGGGGCATCAGAAAGTTCATGGAAATAATCTGTTATCTTTTCATTCCATTTTCCATGAAATTTTTCAGTGCCCTTAGTATATACTTTTGACAATTTTACATGTCAGCCAAAGTCTTTACTTTTCTTGTCAACCTTTTCTTTCATAGGAAATATATATGTTAGAACTGTACTGTAATTGCATAATATTATTTCATCTTGAAAATCAAATTCACCAGAGCTTCATTATAACTTGGCCTATTTGTGCATGGCTTTTGATGTGCCACAGGCCAGACCCAATATTCTGAAATAGTTGTATATACCAGTGCTAGTTGTAGTATGAAAGTGTACTGCCTTGTGTAAGGTATTTATTATATGTGTGTGTGTCTATGTGTATGTGAACCAGCAGTTTATAATCAAAGTAGAAATCTGATACAAGCTATCACACAGTGAATGACTTTTTTGTAGTGGCCAAAGTAACTATTTCATGGGAGCCAGCTCCTAACAAATCACGGGTCCGGTAGGTACAACTGTACAGCAATAATAATTAAAGATTATAGTAAAGTCATAGAGAATAAGAGAGATTGAAATAATGGAGTCAGACACATTTCATGGTAGCATGCTCACCTCAGCTCCTCTTGATGGTACAGGGCAGGGGAGAGGAGGAGAGAGCGAGCGATTTATTGCTATCCAAGGCTTATATAACTTTTGGTGGTGTGCAAGCCCCCTAATTATAGGTAAAGACATAGGTCACAGGAAGGGGTTGTGCTATAGGTAATATAGTAATAAGTGGACGGTCTAGGGGTATACAAACAATAGTTAAGGGGAGGGATTGGGGGTACACATGTGACAAGATGGGCAGATCCTAGATTCAGAATGGCCTCCTAACTTTAGATGTCACTGAGCAGGTTTGACCTGTTCTCTGGCTCTCCATGGAAACAGTTATCAGTAGGGTGTGAGCCCCACCCACAATGGACCAGATAGCAGTCTGTTGGCTGAATGTTTTCAGGGAGAATATCTCTAAGCATCTGACTTTACCACCACATGCTGGCAAACAGCTTCTAATGTTTGGCATATCTTTGGGGGAGACAAAGCTGGGGAAAAGTTTTTTAAATCCCATAACTGTATTTAATTTTTATTTATAAATGTGATTGCTTCTGTTTAATTCCAAATAGATCACTACATTGCAGCTCACATATAAACTAGTTACATTTCAGACTAGCTAACACAATAATTTAAAATGCACACAAATATTTGACATTTCTGCTCACTGTTTAATGCCAAGACATTTCAAAATTTCAGGTCTAAATAATCTCCTTGATGAAAATAGAATTCAAGATTTATCTCTCCTCTACCAGCTCTTCAGTAGAGTTCGAGGTGGGGTTCAGGTTCTCTTGACACAATGGATCGAATACATCAAGGTATTAACAATTTATCTGTCTTGCTTTGTTTTTTTGTATGTTTCGCGACTTTTAATGTGTATCCCCAAGAGTGTGTATCGATTGGTTAGACCGATTTTTTTAAGTAATTTGAATTTTGAGAACAATCAACGTGTTCTTATATGTAAGTTGAACAGTCAATGGGTTATATATATAAGCTGCCTTTTTTTTAATCTAAATTTTGTCTTTATATTCTCATTGAGTCTTCCCATTTGTTTTGTTACTTTAAAAATTTTTTTAAATGACATTGACAATAATTGCTTTCTTGATATCTTGATTTCTTGCTTGGACCACTTACAGGGGAGCTTAAAAAAAGTTAATGGAGGAAAAAAATATAATTAGATTTTCCCACTGAACTGTTTGAAGCCCCCTTCATATAGTTGTGAATGTGAAAAAAAGAAAGACTTCTTTTGGGCCCCATTTTTTCCCCCTTTTAATCTCTCACTGAAGCCAAATTGCCATTGGATTAAGGGTAAGGGCTACACAGCCAATTAATATGATTGAAGTCAGTAGGTTTGTACCTGTAAAAGGTTGAATTGGCAGATTAGCAGCCCAAATAGAGAGCAGCTACTGAAGCTCCTATGTACAACCAAAAATCTCCTGGGATTTGGTTCCTTTAAGGCAGTGGTTTTCAGCCTTCCTAATGCCATGATCTTTTAATACAGTTCCTCATGTTGTGGTTACCCCCAACCATAAAATTATTTTTGTTGCTACTTCATCATTGTAATTTTGCTACTGTTATGAATCAGGAGGCCCCTGTAAAAGGGTTGTTCAATCCCCGGGTTGAGAACCGCTGCTTTAAGGGCTTCTAAGCAGTTCAAACTGGTTCAGTTGTGGCCTAGGATGCAAATTCAAAGCAGATCTGAATTTTTATAATTGGGGTGAAGCAGACAAACAGGATGGGAAAAATTACAGTTCAAAGGCCCTGGAATGGAAAACTTGAAACCGCATATAAGCGATTGGATTAGTAACTAAAACCTTGACGAGCCGCACACATTCAGAGCAGCCCTGTCAGCCAGTCCGGTGAGATTTGGTTGCTATGCACTGCACACTACCCTTGTTCTGAGGAGGTGATAAAGTGTAGGGCATCAGCCAGTACTTTTTCCCATTCTGTCTTTCATCCTGTTGCCACTCACATTTTATAAATCCAGGTGCAGTTGTGTTTCACTTCATTGGCCACAAGTGACCTGGAAAGAACAGGTATGAAACCCTGAGCTATTGGTGTGGAGATTTAGGGTCATGGTTTCATGGGACACCCAAGTTAATTAAACTAGTAATGTGTCTTATCTCCTAGTTCTCTGTGTAGTACCTTGGGTTTTAAAAGCTTAGAAGTGGCCATCCAAGTACAATAGTTGGTCTCTATTCACCTAAAGCAACAGAGGAAGGAGAGTCAGGGATAGAAGGAGGAAGTGGGATGTGTGGCTTATTGCCTTTATAGAAACTGTTCCCTTTGCCGTAATACCAGAACTGGATGGTGCCCAACTACCATTAGAGTTGTGCCTCGGTATCTGTAAGAGATTGGTTCTGTAAAAAATCATATCATTGTCAATGAAGGGGAGTGTGGAGTGGAGACCCAAAACCCATCTGTAGGCAACTGGACATCCCCTTTCAGAAGGGTCACAAGAAAGAGACAAGCCAGTCAGGGTGCAGTATAGCACCGATGAAACATACAGCTTTCTTCTTGTTCTCTAATGCTTCCTCCACACCACTGTCATGATCCCAATTCTACCTTACAAATCTGGCTAGACCAGAGGATGTACACAGGTACAGGTAAGAGCTGGAAACCACAGGGAATTCAGGACTGATAAACCCCTCAGGACCAAAAATGAGAGTAGAGATACCAGCAGGGTAACGGGAAGGTGGAGGAGATAGGAGGAACCAATCACAATGATCTACATATAACCCCTTCCCTAGGGGACGGACAACAGAAAAGTGGGTGAAGGGAGACATCAGACAGTGTAAGACATGAAAAAAATAATTTATAAATTATCAAGGGTTCGGGAGGGAGGGAGGGGAAAAATGAGCGTATAAAAAGGGCTCAAGTAGAAAGAAAATGTTTTGAGAATGATGATAGCAACAAATGTACAAATGTGCTTGACCCAGTGGATGTGTATATGGATTGTGGTAAGAGTTGTATGAGCCCCCAATAAAATGATTTAAAAACAAAACAAAAAAAGATTGGTTCTGGGAACCCCCATGGGTACCTTTCAAGTCCTTTATATTAAAATGGCATGATATTTGCACATAACTTAAGCATACCCTTCAGTATACTTAAGAGATTTGTAGCTTACAGAGCACATTAGTTTTGCCTTCAATAATTCATAACTTAGTGTCTCATGGCATTAGTTGCTATCTACTCAATGCAATCACACTTCCCACTTCTTCCGTGAGTTCTCTATTTCTTTTCTGCTCTTTGAATGTTTCTCTTGGGCACATAAGGAGCCCGGTGGTGTAGTGAAGTTACCTGTTGGGTTGCTAACCTAGCATGTTTAACAGTTCAAAATCACCAGCTACTCCATAGGAGAAAGATGAAGCTTTCCTACTTCCTTAAAGACTCAACAGCCTCAAGAACTCACAGCAGCAGGCCTACCATGTCCTATAGGGTTGCTGTGAATCGGCAGCAACTTGATGGCATTCAGTGTGGGTTGGTATTGCTTTCACATGGTTGGTTGATCTGAGGAGCATGTTCCTCGGCGTAACATTGTTCAGTATACAGGCCCATATATTGTTTGGTTGAACAAAGATCCCAGGGGGATCCAGGTTTGAAGGGCATCTCAGGGTCATAGTCTCAGTGGGATTCCATCTGTTTCTTAACACACCAGTTTAAGTCTGACCTTTTAAAATGATTTTTAATCTTGTTCAACATTTTTCCACCTCCTCTTTCCAGGATTTGTATTGTGATCACAGAGTGATGTTCAGGGCTCATCTGGATCCTCTAATCTCCAGCTAGTAGAGGCTGTGATTCGTGTGGTCCTTCAGTCTAGTCCTTTGGACTAATTGCTTTTTTGAGCCTAATTTTCTCTACTCTAATTTGCTCTGGATGGAAAGAGACTGGAGGTGCTTTCTCACATGCTCTTAAGACCCCAGTCACTACCTATCCAAGTAGGGTGTAGAACATTGACTTTGTGGACTGTGTTATGTCACTTGAACACAGTGTCTTCCACAACTATGATCCTGAGCCCTCATGCCCAGTGACTTAGTTCTTCAGGGTATTTAATTGTGGCCAAGAAGTTTGTAGGAGCCCTGGTGGTGTAGTTGTTACACTTTGGGCTGCTAACTAGCTGCAAGGTCAGCTTTTTTTTTTTAATTAATTTTTTTAAGGTCAGCATTTTTAAACTACAAGCCCCTCTGTAGAAAAACGATGGGGCTTTATACTCTTGTAAAGAGTTACAGTCTATGAAACTCACAGGAGTAGTTCTACACTGTCCTATAAAGTGACTTTGAGTCGGCATTGACTCAATGGCAATGAATTTGGTTTGGAAGAAGTTTATATAACTCTGCCCCCTCTCTGTTCTATTATATATCTGGATATATTTGCAGCACATACAGATGCATAGGTATATCCACTGCCGTGTGGGGGGGGGAGTGTGTGTGTGTGCATATACACATGCATACATGGGGGGATGAGTTACAGAAGGGGGTCTTCAAAAAATTCATAGAAAAATGGGATGGAATTTTTCCTCCCCTGGAGAATTGCTCCGTCTTCCAGTGTTAATCCTTTTCCATTCCTTGAAGAATGCATAACTCGGGTCCTGTCCTGTGCAATTAGGATGATTCCTTGCAAAATTTTGTTGGCTGTAAACGTTCATGAAGTAAAAGATGAACATTTCCCACAGATTCTTTTTTGAAGCCCCCTCCTACTTGTGGGTGTACTCCCTTAATGCCAGCCCATACCTATTTCTCTTGCATCTCTTCCTGTGTATCCACGTGTAAATTATTGTTTTTATTGTAGGGTTGTGTATGTAATGTGTATAAAATGGATGACTTGGAGGCCTAAGAGCCCTATCTGACTTCCTTACTGCCTCAAGGCAGGGTTCAGACATGCCTCCACCCTCTATCCTTACCCTATTCTAACACCAGCCTTGTCACCAACACACAGCACTCTGCTTTTGTGCAGGGTCTGATCATTCATTGCAATAGCCACACATAATTCACAGACAGTACTCACAATGAAAACAGTTTATTAGGGAAATTAACAGGTTACTACAAGTCAGGATCAGTACTCAGTAAAGATGACAGTCACTGGTTCACAGCAACACTTCTCAGCCAGCAGCCAAGTCTCTCTTTGGTCCTCAACCTCTCAGCTATGTGATTCTTGGCTTCTGACTTCATGCCTCACAGTCTTCTCCCGTGTTCTGTCTCATGGTTTCCCCACCGCAGCCTCTGGTCCTGGCCTGGCTCCTTTGCTCTAGTTGATGATTTCTGTGTCATATCACCTTCCACCACTTCAGACAAAGATCGCAAATGTGCTCTTCTGAGATCTTTATGCCCTGGATGGCCCTCATGGCTTTGATGCAAGTGTGGAATTTGTGTTTTAGGAGACCATACCCCCCAAGGAAACAAAGAATGTGACTTGGTTCATACCCTCTACTAATTAAGTCAGGACTTAATTCCCCTATAACCCTGCCTGGTAGCATAGCAGAGAACTACTTCCAACAATGGGATTATAGCCACAGGCATAGAGTCCAGAATTCCAATACATCACATGAGGAGTTATGTTTAGAAGGGCTGTATTAGTTGACTACATCTCAAAATAGTATTGTTTACCGTTGTTGACTCTTATTTGTGTGCACCTCCCAGTAACTTCCTTTGTTTTGCTCATGTTATGCTGACTTACCCCTTACCATATATTGCCTTTCCCAGTATTCAGCTAATAAATGTTTACTCTCTGGTTAGTGAGTTTTTTCTTCCTTCTTATCCCTGTTAACCATTAAAAAGTATTTCTTTCTGTTTATAAATCATTTCTTGACTTTTTATTGTTAGTCACATATAGTACTTGTCCTTTTATGATTGACTTACTTCACTAAACATAATGCATCCAGGTTTATGAGAAGTTTAATGAATTCACTGTTACTCTTTACTGTTGTGTAGTATTCCATTGCATGTATGTCCCTTAGTTTGTTTATCCATTAATCCACTGAAGAACACTTAACCTTTGTGAATAGTGTTATAATGAGCATGGGTGTGCATGGCAGAGTAAGTTCCAGATCATAATGCACCAGTTTATTCTACACACAATGTGTTTACACATGTCTTTGCAATCAGTGTATGGCTACAAACAAGTTCTTTCAGTAATACACTTATCTAAGTTTTATTAGGTGCCTTTAATAAAAGATACCCAATCAAGGCTGCCTTTTCAGGGACTAGTCTGGACCATTTAAATTCAAGGCAGAGAGATCAGCTCAGAAGGTTATGCTAACTATTTGGGGAGTCCCAAGGGCTCTAGTGGTGCTATGGGTTAGACACTGGGGTGATTCAAACCACCTAGCCATTCCACAGGAGATGGATGAGGCTTGTCTGCTCCTGTAAAGATTTACTGTCTCAGTAACCCTGTGTAGGGTCGCTGTGAGTTAGAATCACCCCATAGAAATAGGGTAAGGGATAATCTTGATAGATCTTTTCCAAGGACATAGAGGAGAATCACAGAGGGTTGCTAAGGGGCAGTTTAAAGAAAATTCATAACTGCACTGAGGAGGCAAAAAAGGCCAGGCAAGTTGGGACAAGGCATTTTTTTTCCACCACCACAATATACCTGCTCATTCTTCAAAAGCAACCAGGGCTGTCCTACAAGAGTTTCCTTGGGAAATCTTACTTCGGCCACCATACAGCTCTGATCTTGCCCCCTTGGCACGTCTTTGTGTTTCCTAAACTTGAAGAACATTTTAAAAGAACATAATTTGAGTCCCCTGAGACTGCCCAAACTGCCATTTTGAAAGGTGAAATAAAAGAGTGCAAGAGTTAGAGTTAGAGAGTTAGTTGGGGCAGAGTTAGAGAGATGAAAGTATGAAAAGTATATAGACCAAGATGGAGAATTAAGTTGAGAAACAATAGCTTCACATTTTGATATTTTTGTTTAATAAAGGTTTATGTAGGTTTTTTCAGGTTTCTATGATTTTTATAGAAATTCTTTTTGACTGAGCCGTTTGTATATAATCTTGTTATGGCTCTTAATCTTTAAATCACTTGCATCCTTTCAGAAATCTCTAGAATACTTTTGGTATTTAAAAGGATGGAAACAGCACTGTAGGCACCCTCTGAGCCTTTGAGGAATTGCCTGGACTCCTTTTAAGTGCTTGTTAGGAGCCTCTTTTTGTTCTGTTTCCAAATAATTTTTGTGCATGGTTTGTTGAGTTCTAGGTTGCAGAACCCACCAATACAGAGGGCCAACTGTACTGAATATTTTGATCAAAGATTCTGTAGAAGAATCATGATCAAAAGAGAACAGAATTCTAAATCCCCATGGACTCCAAACTTTCTGAAGCTAGATGATCCCCTGAAACTATTGCCCTGTGATAATCTAAAGATTTAAAACAACACTAACTCCTGAAGTCATCTTAAATCAAACTTTATTATCAATGTTAGGTGCTATGGAGTTGTTTCTTGACTCCTGGAGACCCTATGTACATAGACATAATTTAGCTTAATTACAAGAGAATGTTTGCCTTCAGCATTGTGTTCCTTTTAAAAAAAACTTCATTCTGAATCGGGCAAAGGTTTACAGAGTAAACCCATTTTCCATTGAACAGTTCATACAGTTTCATGTCATTGATTTTAATTCCTACAACGTAACATCACTTATCTATCCTACTTCCTTGTGTTTTCCATTCCCATTTGTCCCATTTTCTTACACCTTCCTACCTTCTGAACTCTGCCCTTGAGCAAATGCTGCCCTTTTGATCTCTATAAAGAGGGCATGTCTCCCTAATATTATTGTTCACCCGTTTATTGTTTGAAAACGGAGGATCGATCAGGTGTAAGTTCAATTCCAGGCCTGAGGAGTGACTGAGGGCCATAGTCTTGGGTATTCCACCAGCTTTTTTTTTTAAATCATTTTATTAGGGGCTCATACAACTCTTACTACAATCCATACATAAATCTATTGTGTAAAGCACACCTGAACATTCATTGCCCTCATCATTCTCAAAACATTTGCTCTCCACTTGGCATCAGGTCCTCATTTTTCCCCCTCCCTCCTTGCTCCCCCTCCCTCATGAACCCTTGATAATTTATAAATTATTATTTTGTCATATCCTGCGTCTCCCTTCACCCACTTTTCTGTTGTCCGTTCCCCAGGGAGGAAGTCACATATAGTTTCTTGTAATCGATTCCCTCTTTCCAACCCATTCTCCCTCTACCTTCCCAGTATCGCCACTCACACCATTTGTCCTGAAGGGATCATCCACCCTGGATTCCCTGTGTTTCCAGTTCCTATTTGTACCAGTGTACATCCTCTGGTCCAGCCAGACTTGCAAGATAGAATTCAGATCATGATAGGCAGGGGGGGGGGGAGCATTTAGGAGCTACAGGAAAGTTGTATTTTTCATCTGCTACATCGCACACTGACTAGCTCGTCTCCACCCTGAGACCCCTCTGTAAGGGGATCTCCAGGTTCCACCAGCTTCTATCTGACCAACAACTCTGACCTATTTTAGAGCATTGCTCTTTTTAAGAACTAGGTAATAAATTGACAGCAACAACTCAGAAAGACTAGATAGTATTCTTAGGGGCCCAGGTGAGTTCCTGTGAATGCGAGAGGAACAATTCAGAAAGTAGGGTGAGAGTGATTACCCAAATTGGAGGATATAATCAATGTACTGAATTGTGTCCATATAAGTTGTCGAATTGATGTATGTTGTCTATGGGCTTGGCAATAACAGCAAAGAATATAAACTTTTTAAAAGATATCAACTGATTTTTAAAAATCATTTTATTAGGGGCTCATGCAACTCTTACCACAATCCATACATACATCAGTTGTGTAAAGCGAATTTGTACATTCATTGCCCTCATTGTTCTCAAAACATTTCCTCTCCACTTAAGCCCCTGGCATTAGGTCCTCATTTTTCCCCTCCCTCCCCCGCTCCCCCCTCCTTCATGAGCCCTTGATAATTTATAAATTGTTATTTTGTCATATCTTGCCCTGTC